TTAAATGGCGGGGGCTTTAAATGACAGACCCTCAGCATCAGCCGTAATCAAGAGACTGCGTCAGTGAAGGCATTAACGCAGGATTAGACTGATTAAATCACACAGAGGAATCACACCAGAAATTGCAATGCCCAGCTATAATTGCTTAAGCTACTGCCATTTCAAATCACCTATAACTACTAAGATAAGATGAGATGAGATGAGATCAAGATAAGGTAAGATAAGTAAGATAAAATAAGGTAAGGTAAGGTGATAAGATAGATAAGATAAGATATAAGATAAAAGATGAAGATAAGGTAAGGTAAGATAATAAGATAAGATAAGGTAAGGTAAGGTAAGGTGATAAGATAGATAAGATAATATATAAGATAAGATATAAGATGAAGATAAGGTAAGGTAAGATAAGATGATAAGATAGATAAGATAAGGTAAGGTAAGGTAAGGTACGGTGATGATAAGATGATGAGAAGAGAAGAGAAGAGAAGAAGAAAAGAGAAGAGAGATAAGATGGAAACTAATCAAGGAGAGAAGCAACCTAGAACAAAGGAGAAATTTCTTGACAGTTAGAACAATTAACCAGTGGAACAACCCGACTCCAGAAGTGATGAATGCTCCAACACAGGAAGTTTTTAAGAAGACACCAGACAGCCATTTGAGCAGAGGGTTGGACTAGATGACCTCCAAGGTCCCTTCCAACATTATTATTATTATTATTATCAATCATCGTACAGTCAGCCAGATGTTCAGACTGGATTTGGCATTTTGTCTACCTATCGAGTCCTTACCCAGGACCTGGGATAGGCAGATGTAGATGTTTGATGGTATTACAGATATCGTCGCAGGATGGAAGCAGTTCCTAATAAGGCCGCCTTTTGCAATTGACTAATAGCGAATTTGTCAATGCCAATGGTGTTCAAGTGGTGCTCCAGTTGTTTTGGGATTGCACCCAAGGAGCCTATGACTATTGGTACTACCCTTGCTTGCTTTTGCCACAGTCTTTCTATTTCTATTTGTAGGTCTTTGTATTTTGTTATCTTCTCCAGTTCTTTCTCTTCTATTCTGCTGTCTCCAGGCACTGCCACGTCCACTATCCAGACTTTTTTGTCTTTCTTATCGACAATTGTTAAGTCTGGGGTGTTATGTTGCAGGTGCTTGTCTGTTTGAATTCTGAAGTCCCAGAGCAGTTTAATTTTATCATTTTCTATGACTTTCTCTATTTTATGATCCCACCAGTTTTTGCTTACAGGCAAATGATATTTTTTGCAGATCTTCCAATGCACCATTGTTGCTACTTTGTCATGCCGCTGCTTGTAATCAGTCTGTGCAATCTTCTTGCAACAGCTTACCAAGTGGTCCACTGTTTCTTCAGCTTCTTTGCATAGGCGGCACTTACTGTCTGTTGCTGTCTTCTCAATTTTGACTTTGTATGCATTTGTCCTTAAGGCTTGGTCTTGTGCAGCCAGAATTAGTCCCTCGGTCTCTTTCTTCAATTTTCCTGCTCTTAGCCATTGCCAGGTTTTATTATTATCTGCTTTCCCAGCTATTTTTTTCATGTATTGGCCATGTAGTGCTTTGTCTTCCCATGCCTCTATTCTGTTCTTCATTTGGTCTTTCTTGTAGGCCAGTTTGGTCTCTCCAGTAGTTAGTAAGCCTTCCTGATATACTAATTTCAGTGCATCTTCATCATTGTTCTTCAGATATTCTTCCAAAGCCATTTTTTCTTCTTCAACCATCTGATGTACTTGTAGCATTCCACGCCCACCTATTTGCCTTGGTAGATAAAGTCTATCAATGTCACTGCGTGGATGAAGGGCGTGATTCATTGTCATTATTTTTCTGGTCTGCCTATCCATTGCTTTTAGTTCTGCTTGAGTCCAGTCCACTATTCCAGCTGTGTACCTAATGACTGGGATTGCCCAGGTGTTGATTGCCTTTATGGTATTTCCTCCATTGAGTTTGGATTTTAAGATCTTCTTCACTCTCTTGATGTATTCACCTCTAATCTTTTTCTTGACTTCAGTGTGCTTGATGTTGTCAGCTTGAAGGATACCCAAGTATTTGTAGTACTCTTCCTCATCCAGACTCTTAATGTTATTTTCGTGGGGCATCTTGATTCCTTCAGTTTTCACTATTTTTCCTTGTTTGATAGTAAGTGTGGCACATTTGTCCAAGCCAAACTCCATTACAATATCTTGGCTATATATACGGACAGTGTTGAGCAGCGATTCTATTTCAGATGATGTTTTTCCATACAGCTTCAGATCATCCATGTAAAGGAGGTGGGATAGTCTAGCAGATGTTTTTGATGTTTGATAGCCATGTCCTGAGTTATTCAGTATTGTTGACAGAGGAAACAGTGCAATAACAAATAGTAATGGTGATAATGAATCTCCTTGAAATATTCCTCTCTTGATATTAACCTCTCCCAGCTTTCACCATTGATCTGCAACTGTGTCTTCCATTGTGCCATCGATTTTGCACAAATTTTCTGATGTTTCTACTGACTCCTGTTATTTCTAGGCACTTGATTATCCAATCATGTGGCAGAGAGTCAAATGCCTTTTTGTAGTCAATCCATGCTACATTCAGGTTGGTTTTCCTTCTCTTGCAGTTTTCCAAGATCATTTTGTCTATTAGGAGTTGATCTTTTGTTCCTCTGCTATTGGGGCGGTTTCCTTTCTGCTCAGGTGGAAAGAGATTGTTTTCAACTAGATGCTGTTGTACTGCATCAGCTACCACACCAGTTAGTAATTTGAAAGTTGTTGGTAAGCAGGTAATTGGCCTGTAGTTACCTGGTGTTGCCCCTTTTGCTGGATTTTTCATTATTAGGTAGGTTTTCCCAGTTGTTAGCCACTTTTCAATTTCTCCTCCTTGTAGTATATTGTTGAACTGCTTGGCAATGAGTGGGTGTATAACAGTTAGATGTTTCAACCAAAACCCATGCAGTTCATCTTCACCTGGTGCTGACCAATTTTTGATTTTCTTTGCTCTTTTTTCTACCATTTTTGTTGTTATTACTAGTTCTTTCATTTCAACTTCTGTTTTATTTGCATCCACCTCTTTTAACCAAGCCGCATCCTTGTTGTATTTCTTTGGGTTATCCCATATCTGCTTCCAGAACTGCACTGTTTCTTCCTTGTCAGGTACTGACTGATTCCTTGCAGTTTCTCCATTGATGGATTGGTAGAAACGTTTCTGATTGGATTGAAATTGGAGGTTCTGCCTATAGTTTGCAATTCGAGCTTCATATCTACTGATTTTCCTGGCTATAGCTGTTATTTGTTGCTTTATTATTTCCAGTGCTTCCTTGATCTTCCTTGTTTCTAAGTGGTATTTCTTGATTAGGTATTCTTTGGTCTTCTTGTTCTTCAGCTTCTTTTCTTTCATCTGTTCTAGCTTGCTTGCATGTGATCTTAACTTGCTGATCTTATTTTCTAGTCTAACCTTCCATTTTTGTGGTGCACTGTTTGTTTGTTTTTCTTTTTGTTGATTTTGCATCCCAGGTATTCTGTTATAACTGCAGCTGTGCTGTACATTAGTTGGTTTGTTTCTTGCAGTGAATTGGTGCTTATACTTGCTATTGCAGTATTTGCATCTTTTAATGCTTGTGCTAGCTGTTTCTTTGGAACAAGCTTCAATGCAGGCAGCCTTATTCTGTTGTTTTTGTGCTGTTCTAGATGCTCAATTATTCTTTGTTTCAATTCTTTTATTTCTTTAGTTAGAGGGTTTTGTTCTTTCTGAGGAAGAGGTGCCTGGTTTCCAAATGAGAACAGTTGTATATCTCTATTGGATTCTTTCACTGCCAACTCCCCCTGGTTTGCCTCTACATTCTGAATTACTTCTTGTAAGGCTTTGATTTCTTTGCCCTGGGTAAACCTTTGCAGTTCGTCCAATTCTGTTTCTGTACATACTTTATTTCGTGTTATAAATCGGCGTTGATCTGCTAGTCTCTGTTCTGTTATTTCTGATTCTGGATGCTGTTCTTTCCAGAATTGGTGCATTCGTGTTAGATATCCTCGTCTTGTTGGACTTGATCTGTAGTAACAGATCATTATTTCTTTGTTTTCCATCACTGTGTATCTGCGACGGGTAAACACCTTTTCTTCCAGTAGTTCTGCATCTGCTGGCCCTGGTTGCTCAGCCAACAGTCCTGAGTCCTGTAACCCATTTTTCACCAGATATCCAGGAACTCCAATATCTAGTGCGGACCTTGTTAACCCGGGCGACGTCCGAGCCGGTATGGCATTCTGAAATTTACATCTCACCATATTATATTATATTATATTATATTATATTATATTATATTATTATTATTATTATTATATGATTATGATTATGATTTAATTATCGCACAGTTCAGCCAGATGTTCAGACTGGATTTGGCATTTTTGTCTACCTATCGAGTCATCATCATCATCATCATCATCATTATTGACATAAGATATAAGATAACCTTTATCATCATTTTTTACTGTGGGGACACTGGCACACATTAAAATAAAGTTCTGTTGCCTGCTCTCAAAAGTGTGCACGAACATAACACACATATAAACATGCTACATACAACATATGGATGTACCTACGCCCTTATAAATACACATACATATTAATCACTGTCCATCTTGAATACATAGCGGAAAGAGAAAGTGTTAAAGAGCTCACAAGGTTGGTACTGTATGGAACAAAACTGCGACTGAATCTGGATGTTCTGCTTCGGGTACCACAGAGGCCCCCCCCCCCATCCCAGAAGGGAACAAGGAAAACAGTGGAGAGGATGTGTAGCATCCCAAACAATCTTGCAGACCCTGCTCAAGCAACACTTAATATGCCAGGGAGTGGATGGGAGGGAGGGACCTGCCAATCAACTTTTCTGCTGTCCTCACCACTCTCTGCATTGCCTTCCTGTCTGAAGCAGGCACACTTCCAAACCAGACTTTGCCCAGAAATCATAATAATTTTACTGTTTCTGATTCAACAAAACAAGAAAACGTGGTTCTTACCATACATGCTGTACTCCAGATATCAGCGGGTGTACTGTAACCGGCTCCTATTAAAACTTCAATCGATCTATATTGTCGGGTCTGGATATCTTCCGTAAAGTGTTTATGCTAAAAAAAAAAAAAAAAACAAACCCGGAAAAGACAGGCTTTTCATTACAAAACGCTCCAATTTCAGCTACGAGACCAAGTCGCAAAGTTGTAGACAATTTTTATTTAATTTTTTAAATTATTTTTTATTTTTCCAAACTCTCCCCCATACATATACCGTGATATTTATCAGATGTTAACATACATTCTTTTTACATTCATATATAAGATACTTTTAATAAAATGAAATAAATACATACACACGACTTCTGGTGTTGCTCGCCCATTTCCCCTTTCACTGTATCCACACTCCTTCTTCTCTACCTTCTTTCTCCCTTTCTTCTCTTCCCCTCTTCTTCCTCTCCTCTTCTCTTTCCTTCACCACTTCTCCTCACTTCTCCTCCTCCAACCTTCCTACTTCCTTCTCCCATCCTTTACTCTTTTCTCTCTCTTCTCCTTTCTTCCCTCTCATCCCTCTTCAGATACAATTCAGGGGTAATGGTTGTAGACAATTTTTTAACTACACTTACCACCCAGCAAGCATTGCCCAGGTCGGCAATTTTAACTCTAATTTTATCGGCGTTCCTCGGATCCAAAGGATTCACCAGCAAATCAGCAGCCCGAGTTTTCACTGTTAGGAAGGAAGAAATACAGAGTTAATATTCGGAGCGCGTAATCCAATATTCTTTTAAAGAAACGACAGTGGGGTAGAGCAAAAACAGCTGATGTCTTTGCCATCTTTAAAAAAAAAAAGAATTCAAAATATGCAGAACCATTTTTGTTTTTTAAAGGGATACACCAATTATTAGCCTAACGTGGTGTAAATTACGGTATCGAACACAATTTTTGAACGAGGCGAACAACCTAAATAATTGTCAGGGGAAAAAAAACCCTATGTAATAGAAGCTGAAGAAGCTTCTTGGATGAGAAGCGAAACGTCTTCAAAGAAAAACAAGGAGGCCCAGTTGCCTCCTTGGGATATCTCTCCAGAACAAACCACACACAGCAAAGTAAATTATTATATTTTTTATTATTCGGTTTAAAATACAATATATGCATACATTCAGAAGGATTGCAATTGGGGATTGTAGGACCCCCCCCCCGGGACGCCGCATCGGTCAAAAATACGTGCCAGCTGACAAGAGCTTAAATTTTGATCACGTGAAAGTAGCGGAAAGAGGCGTGTTGCTGCAATGGTTGTAACTGTGAAAAATGAACACAGCTCGCTTTTTTTTCAATGCCTTTGTAACTTGAAATGGTCCCTAAACCAGTGGTTCTCAACCTTTTTAATGCCACGACCCCCAACTGGTCGTAAGTCAAGGACTACTCAACCGGTCGTAAGTTGAGGACTACTCAACTGGTGCAGCACAGTTTGCAGAATGGGACTTTTGGCGGGCTCAGCAGGGCAGAGACAGCCTGGACAATTCCTATTGGCTTTTGAAAGCCAATAGAATTAGACTCTATTCAAGAGAGTCTATTGGCTTTCAAAAGCCAATAGAATAAAAGGGAGTAGCATAGCTAAGGAAAAGGGGGAAAAATGGCGGACTGCGTTGTTTGGGGACCCCCGTGAAATGGTCGTTCAACCCCAAATGGGGTCCCAACCCACAGGTTGAGAACCACTGCACTAAACAAATTCATTTGTAAAATTGCCCTGCAAATGCAAGACAACCAGTGATCTCAACCCTGAACATTTAGAGAAGAAACTGTAGATGAAAGAGTATAATCTATGAAAAAAGATTCCACAATAGTCTATCTCCCTGCCTATCTATCTGTCTGTCTGTCTGTCTGTCTGTCTGTCTATCTATCTATCTGTCTGTCTATCTATCTATCTATCTATCTATCTATCTATCTATCTATCTATCTATGTGTATCTATATCTATTTGTATCTCTATTTCTGTCTATCTCTGTGTGTATCTATCTCTCTCTTTCTGTGTAGCTATCTCTATCTCTGTATCTCTCTATCTCTCTAGATCTCTGTGTATCTATATCCATCCATCCATCCCTGTCTGTCTGTCTGTCTATCTATCTATCTATCTATCTATCTCCCTCCATCCATCTATATCTATCTATGTGTATCTATATCTATCTCTGTGTATCTATCTATTTCTGTCTATTTCTCTGTATCTATCTATCTATCTATCTATCTATCTATCTATCTCTTTCTGTGTAGCTATCTCTCTATGTATCTCTTCATCTATCTCTGTGTATCTATCTCTGTATCTCTCTATCTCTGTGTATCTATATCTATCTACCTATCTACCTACCTCTATCTATCTATCTATCTATCTATCTATCTATCTATCTATCTATCTATCTATCTGTGTGTGTCTCTATCTATATATTGCTCCATTTACAGTTGTGAGGAAACAATGATTTTCGAGATTTGTAAATATATTATTATACATTTAACGTAATCTGATTCTTAAGTGTACTGCTCAGCGGCTGAAAATTAGTTCACTCTTTGTCTTCTTCTCATTTCCCCTTCTGCTTTTATTCATTTCTGGATAAAAAGGGTGTGGATTACAGATGCCGTGGTTCAAGAAGGGTGAGTTGTGTGCTCTTAGAGGAGTTGCATGCTTGCAAAGGTCAGATGCTCCAGGAAGAAAAAAATGACAAAAAAAAAATCGCATTAACTTTATCCAAAGCTGGCTTTCCGGTTATCACTGCAGAAATAAAATGTTTTGGAAGCCGAGCTGCCATCGATCCCACTCATCTGATCCAACAGAGGAATGTGAAGCGAGTCCAAAAGCATTCAACGCCGTGATAAACCATATTTGCTGCTTCCCCCCCCCCCACATACACACTTTGGCTACTAATGTTCTAGGACTCCTGTCGCTTCTCATTTTCTTGTCTTGTTACCCATCAACAGATTGCTTCCTAGTTAATTTTGTCTCTTCAGTTTTCCAAGAATTCAGCTACTTTCTTGTTATCTCAGTGGAGATCTCGTACTGCAGTGGGCTAGAACAGTGGTTCTCAACCTTTTTAATGCCGCGACCCCCAACTGGTCGTAAGTCGAGGACTACTCAACCGGTCGTAAGTCGAGGACTACTCAACTGGTGCAGCACCGTTTGCAGAATGGGACTTTTGGCGGGCTCAGCAGGGCAGAGACAGCCTGGACAATTCCTATTGGCTTTTGAGAGCCAATAGAATTAGACTCTATTCAAGAGAGTCTATTCTATTGGCTTTCAAAAGCCAATAGAATAAAAGAGAGTAGCACAGCTAAGGAAAAAGGGGGGGGGAAATGGCGGACTGCGTTGTTTGGCGACCCCCGTGAAATGGTCGTTCGACCCCAAATGGGGTCCCGACCCACAGGTGGAGAACCACTGGGCTAGAAGGAAGTCAATATCCTTCAACCATTTATTCTGCAAAAGAAAAGAAAAAAAACACCCCCACCAAAATGTAATCTTATGGATCAGAGGTAATGAAAACGGACACAAATTTATAAAAAGGCATTCTCCCTTTGGCGGATTGTCAGGGCCCAAATTGTGCGACAGAGAACAATTGACACTTCTGCTGAACTAGACTCTGTGGCATCTAACATACGTGGGTATGTGCGTTGTTCTGTATTTATTTATTTATTTTTGTCACATTCATGCAGCGCCTATCGGAGGGGGTGGCCCTTTGGGAGCTGTAGGCAATGAAAATTTCATTTTAGTGTATGACGATTAGTGTATACGTTCAGAGTGACAACGAAGCTATTATTCATGTTTGTTAGTCACATATAATTATTCAACTGAGACATAGGTTTTCAGCCAGCTGGGTGTTCTGTTCTGTATTCTTCAGAGCAACATTATGCTTACCCCCAAAATATATGAGGAATATATGTTATGGTCTTCCAAGCCAAAATGTATCTATACATATGTTGTATGTAGTTATGTTTAAATGTGTGTTATGTATGTGTACACTTTGAGAGCAAGCAACTTCATTTGTAATGTGTGCCATTGTGTCCACAGTAAAAAAATGACAAGATTATTTTTTTTTCTTTCTTTCTTTCTTTTTCTTTCTCTTTCCTTTCTTTCTATATCATCTATCTATATCATCTATCTCTATCTATCTCTATCATCTATCTCTATCTATCTATCTATCTATCTATCTATCTATCTATCTATCTATCTATCTATCTATCTATATCTCTATCATCTATCTATCTCTATCTATATCATCTATCTCTATCTATCTATATCTATCTCTATCTATCTATTCTATCTATATCATCTATATCTATCTATCTATCTATCTATCTATCTATCTATCTATCTATCTATATCTCTATCATCTATCTATCTCTATATCATCTATCTCTATCTATCTATATCTATCTCTATCTATCTATTCTATCTATATCATCTATATCTATCTATCTATCTATCTATCTATCTATCTATCTATCTATCTATCTATCATCTATCTATCTATCTATCTATCTATCTATCTATCTATCTATCTATCTATCTATCATCTATTGTAACATTCTTAACTGACCCCCAATTCCTTTGCTATTAAAACACCACCTATTTCAAAGTTTAAGGCTAACAAAGCAATTGAAATGTGTTGAAAAGCAAGATCTTACCTATATTTCATGGTGGAATTTGAGAGCGAAGCTGAGATCAGTTTGAGTAGACAATGTGGCTTATTTAACTCTGTCCCAGTTGCTCATTTATGTGTCTCCGGCTCAATTCATTACAGGAACTTTAGCGGATAAATGCTTTGTCTTGCAAGGTCATTAAATGGAGAGGCTCATCAAAAGAATTTCAAGTTTTTTTTAATTACTGTAACAACCACAAAGTTGCATAAATCCGAAAGACATTCTTAGTCTTTATCCTGGTGTGGAATCGATGATTACAAATATTACAATTTGTTATCGGGGAAACGGTAGCAGCTAAGAGGATTTTTCCACCAACACACACACTGAGAAAGAGTACAACTCAAATTCCACAATTATCAATTAATTACGGGATAATGCTTCCGGTCCAGCTCTTTTTTTTCTTACTTTAAAATGGAAGGCACCGCTTCGTTGTTGTTGTTGTGTTGGAATGGAGGAACACAAATCCCTCCAAAATTATAATTAAACCATCAGAGAAGCATAGAAAAGAGAGCGGCGTTTTGGAATTAACTTATGCCTTTGTTGTGCTGTTTGACATTAAAGACAAGATTTATAGCCTTTAAGCCCCGCAGTGTTTCTCCACCTTGACAATTTTAAGGCATGTGGACTTCAACTCCCAGAATTCCACAGCCAGCAAATGCTGGCTGTGGAATTCTGGGAGTTGGAAGTCCACATGCCTTAAAATTGTCAAGGTGGAGAAACACTGCAAGGGAATACCAGCCTGTTTGGTATTATTGCAAAGGTCCCATTTTGCAAATGTACCTTTTTGGAAATGTGCCTCGTTTTGGAACTTCTGTTGAGATAAAACACGTAATCCGTATAATTTGGGGGTCTGTGTGTGTGTGTGTGTGTGTGTGTGTGTGTGTGTATCCAGTGTCAGTACTTGACCACCTCTATTACTGTATTCCAGAACCCTCAATATACACTGTAGTATCCTCAATGTAAGCCCAAAGTTTCCATTGCTGACGGAGACAGCTGTTAAGGGAATTTTGCTCCTTTTTACGACTTTTAGTAGGCGGTTAAGCAAAATTGGCTTCCTGCATTGACTTTGCTCGTCAGAAAGTCGCAAAAGGGGAATCACGTGATTCCGGGACGCTGCGACCGTCGTAAATATGAATCAGTTGCCAGTTGATCACCTGACCCTGGGGCTGATGCAACGGTTGTCAGTGTGGTTAGAATGCGGTACTGCAGGCTAATTCTGATGACTGCCCAAAGTAATATTCTGTAAGTCATGCGCCCTGGTGGCGCGGTGGTTAGAATGCGGTACTGCAGGCCACTTCGGCAGTTCGATCCTGACCGGCTCAAGGTTGACTCAGCCTTCCGTCCTTCCAAGGTCAGTAAAATGAGGACCCAAATTGTTGGGGGGCAACAGGCTGACTCTGTAAACTGCTTAGAGAGGGTTTTGTAAAGCCCTGTGAAACGGTATATATAAGTGCTATCGTTATAAGTTACTTTTTTCAGCGGCTTCGTAATTTCAAACGGTCAATAAATGAACGGTTGGAAATCGAGGGCTACCCGTACTCAAACGCTGAAAAGGTACAATGTTCACTTGACTTGATATTTACAACAAGGTGGATCTTCTCGATATATCAGAACAGAAATGTGAAACTCAAATCAATCAGAGGAAGGGACCTTGGAGGTCATCTAGTCCAACCCCCTGCTCAGGCAGGAAACCCTATACCATTTCGGACAAATGGCTGTCCAGTCTCTTCTTAAAAACTTCCAGTGTTGGCGCATTCACCGCTTCTGGAGGCAAGGAGTTCCACTGGTCAATTGTTCTAACTGTCAGGAAGTTTCTCCTTAGTTCTAGGTTGCTTCTCTCCTTGATTAGTTTCCATCCGTTGTTTCTTGTCCTGCCTTCAGGCGCTTTGGAGAATAGCTTGACTCCCTCTTCTTTATGGCAGCCCTGAGATACTGTAAGGCTGCTATCATGTCCCCCCCCCCATTCTTCTTTTCTCTAGACTAGCCATACCCACTTCCTGCCACCGTTCTTTATATGTTTTAGTCTCCAGGTCTTTAATTATCTTAATTGCTCTTCTTGGCATTTTTTTCCAAAGTCTCAACATCTTTTTTGTGATCTCAGAGAAAAATACACAGACTTGTCATAAAAATGTACATTCCTCTAAACCAGTGGTTCTCAACCTTTTTATATGGCGACCCCGGTCATAAGCAGGCGGCGCACATGCGCGGCGCTGCCCCCTGCGTGGCACGCATGCGCGGCGCAACCCTGTGCGGCGTGCATGCGCGGGGCTGCCCCTGTGCGGTGCGCATGCGCTGCGCCTGCGCCGCCCCCTGCGTGGCGTGCATGCGCGGCGGCGCCCCATGCGCCACCCCCTGTGCGGCATGCATGCGCAGCGGCGCCCCATGCGCCGGCTGACGAAAAAAATGGCGGATCGCATTGTTTGGCGACCCCCGTGAAATGGTCGTTCGACCCCAAATGGAGTCGCGACCCATAGGTGGAGAACCGCTGCTCTAAACAAATTAGCGGTGGATCACAATCACGTGTTCCTTCAGTTGTAAAAGAGGGAGAAACGGAGCACCCCAAACTCTCACTTAGAGAAATGACACTTAACTTGCACAGAGGACGCTCTGTGAAACTGGGCGCAACCGGGCGCGAGTAATAGTAGCATGGGAAGAGTATCACTAGTAACAGTTACGACATGCTCCCCCAAAATTGACAGATCTAACACGATTTAATTTTAAACCAATATGCCACGTCGCTTCTGGGTATCCTTATTGTTTCAAGATCAGCTGTTCTGTGGATAAAGGCAGTCCTCAACTTATGACCGCAACGGAGCCCAAAATTTATGTTGCTAAGCAAGACAGTGGTTGAGTGAGCTTTGCTCCGATTTACGCCCTTTAGGGACACAGTTGTTAAATGGACAACTGCAATTGTTAAGTTGGCTTCCTCATTGGCTTTGCTTGTTGAGACGGTCGCCAAAGGGAATCACATGACCCTGGGGCACTGCGACCGTCATAAACATGAGTCAGTTGCCAAGGATCTGATTTTTTTTATCATGTGACCAGCGAGGGGCTGTAACGGTCTTAAGTGTGAAAACAGTAGTAAGTCACCTTTTTTCTGTGCCGTTATAACTTCACTAAACAAACTGTTGTTACGTTGAGGACTATTTGCATTGTGCTAAAGACAAAAAGGCATTTGAGGCGCCCTATAGTCATTATACAGTTTTCACTTCTACCCAAAGCAATGTTTTGACACAAAAAGAGTGCACACCACCACACCAAACAACAGCAAAGTAAGCACTCTGCAGGGTGAGCTTTGACAACGCACAAATTTGGTTGATGTTGCCCTATTCCTATTCTTTCTTTTTGCATTAAGCCTGAGCGAACCCTCCTGGCAAATAGATGGGGAAGAAATGGAGGTAGTGACAGATTATATCTTCCTGGGCTCCAAGATCACCTCAGATGGGGACTGCAGCCAAGAAATTAAAAGACGCTCCTGGGGAGGAAAGCTATGGCAAATCTAGACAGCATACTAAAAAGCAGAGACATCACCCTGCCAACAAAAGTGCGCATAGTCAAGGCCATGGTTTTCCCAGTTGCGATGTAGGGCTGTGAAAGTGGGACCATAAGAAAGGCTGAGCGCCAAAGAATGGAGGCCTTTGAACTCTGGGGCTGGAGAAGACTCCTGAGAGTCCCCTGGACTGCAAGGCGATCCAACCAGTCAGTCCTGGAGGAGATCAACCCCGACTGCCCTTTAGAAGGCCAGATCCTGAAGTTGAAACTCAAGTACTTTGGCCACCTAATGAGAAGGAAGGACTCACTGGAGAAGGGCCTAATGCTGGGAAAGATTGAGGGCAATAGAAGAAGGGGACGACGAAGAATGAGATGGCTGGATGGAGTCACTGAAGCAATAGGTGTGAACTTAAATGGACTCCAGAAGATGGTAGAGGACAGGAAGACCTGGAGGAACATTGTCCATGGGGTCACGATGGGTTGGACACGACTTCGCATTTAACAACAACAACCCTCTCAATTCCTGGCAAATAGATGGGGAAGAAATGGAGGTAGTGACAGATTATATCTTCCAGGGCTCCAAGATCACCACAGATGGGGACCGCAGCCAAGAAATTAAAAGATGCTCGCTCCTGGGGAGGAAAGCTATGGCAAATCTAGACAGCATACTAAAAAGCAGAGACGTCACCCTGCCAACAAAAGTGCGTATAGTCCAGGCCATGGTTTTCCCAGTTGCAATGTATGGCTGTGAAAGTTGGACCATAAGAAAGGCTGAGCGCCAAAGAATTGAGGCCTTTGAACTATGGTGATGGAGAAGACTCCTGCGAGTCCCTTGGACTGCAAGGCGTTCAAACCGGTCAGTCCTAGAAGAGATCAACCCCGACTGCTCTTTAGAAGGCCAGATCCTGAAGTTGAAACTCAAGGACTTTGGCCACCTAATGAGAAGAAAGGACTCCCTGGTTTGGGTCATGAAACATCTGCAAGAAAACCACCCAGCTCAGAGAGCAGCAAGGATCCTTCAGAAGAAGCAACTTCACCGAGAGTTTCCGGAACGGTTAAGATCACGGTTAATGGTCACAGTAACGAAAATGCTTACGTTTTGGCAAGTCTCCGGTGCTAGATGCTGAAACCGTCCTGCTCCTGTCGTGGGATGGAGTGCTTCCGTCTCTTTCGGTTACGGTCGACTCTTCAGAAACCGCCAAACCACAAGCGATGGAATCTAAAGCTCCGGGGAACGCCGAAGCGGAGAATTCCGAATATTGTGATTCTGGAATGTTATGACGTCCGTTTGGCAATTCGCCATTAAATTGTTCGTAAGAGCTGCTGTAGCTGTACTCGCTTTTCGCGTCGGGCGCATCGAGGTTATATTGCTCGGCATTCGGGCCTTCTTCCTCCTCCTCCTCTTCCTCTTCCTCTTCCTCCTCAATCTGCTCTTCCAGGGAGAAAGGGCCATCTATAATGTGGCCATTGGTTTTGGGAGATTCTATCCAAGCGGGATCCGCGGACTCTGAATTGGCCAGTTCTTGTTCCAGGTCCTCGTCCTTCTCCGTGTCTTTTTCTTTTTCCGTGTCGTCTTTCTCGTCTTGGTCTTCTGTGTCTCCTGAGGGATACAAAGAATAGAATTCTTTTTTTAAAAAAAAAACCAATTTTATTGTTTTTTTTAATTTTTAGGACAAAGTGCTCAAGACACACCGTGGTGTTAGGGTAGTCAAACATCCAAAGGCAAAACATATATACGTAATTCAATCAATACATCAAGTAGTCCCTCTCTTTTTCCCTTAAGTAACATAATTTATTTAAAATAGTCCCATTCTAGCTTAAATTTATTCAACCTAGACCTGTTTTTAAAGCTTTATAAATTGACACTACCATAATCAAATTAACTTTCAGTACAAACATTATCAATTCGGGTATCCCTTCCAAATATGTTCCAGTTCCTTAATTTTATCACAAATCTTATTTATTTCTTCTTCCACTAATATCCCTTATTTAAAATGAAATATTAATCTATCCTATACGTATCTAATCCATCCATCAATCAATCTCTTTAAGCTGGCAGAATAAAATCAGACCTTAAATCATTTCCATCCATTAAACAGAATTCAAATTTCATCCAATTAATTGTCGTGACTAATAACATCCATGTTATCAAACAAACCAATCTTCTTATTAGATTAACTCCACATTACATAATGATTTTCTTACAAGTAAACCTATCGTTCTAAAACAGTGGTTCTCAGCCTTTTTTTTCTGGTGACCCCGGTCATAAGGACGCGCCGCGCATGCGCGGTGACGCCCCCATGCGCGGCACGCATACGCGGCGACACCCCCATGGGCGGCAGCGCCCATGCGCAACGTGCATGCGCAACGATGCCCCATGCGCGGCCCACATGTGCGGTGGCGGCCCATGCGTGGCGCACATGCGTGACGGCACCCCATGCGTGGCGCACATGCGTGGCGGCACCCCATGCGTGGCGTGCATGTGCAGTGGCGCCCCATGCATGGCAGGCATGCGCGGCATGGCGCGCATGCGCGGTGCCGCCAGCTAAAAAAATGCCGGATCGCGTTGTTTGGCGACCCCCGTGAAATAGTCGTTCGACCCCAAATGGGGTCGCGACCCACAGGTTGAGAACCGCTGTTCTAAAAGAACACATAAAGAATAGAATTCTTCATTGCCCATCTGGTTGGACACACAAGGAAATTGTCTCCGGTTTGTAAGTGTACGTAGAAGTAATAGCGATCATCATGATGATAAACAACGTGAAATGCATTCATCATGAATCGTAAAATACAACACATTCATCATAAATTGTGCACTTAGTGATAGTCATAGAGCACTGGCTAAGAAAAACATAAATCATACTAGGACAGGGGTCCCCAACCCCAGTCCGTGGATCGGTACCGGGCTGCGACATGCCAGCAACCAGTCCGCACAGACGAGCAAATACTCTAGGGCACAGGTCGGCAACCTGCGGCTCCGGAGCCGCATGCGGCTCTTTGAGCCTTCCCCTGTGGCTCCCAGCCTCCTCTGCCATTTGCAGAGAGAGACAGAGACAGAGAGAGGCAATTGCGCTTCCCTGCTTCTCTCTCTCTCTCTCTCTCTCTCTGTGTGTGTATGTGTGTGTGTTTTGTGTGTGTGTGTGTGTGTGTGTATATGTGTAAAAGAGAGTGCACTCACATTGTTCTCTGAGGAGCTGAAAAGCTTTCTGGGCGGAGTTCCTCCCTTTGCTGCGTCTCTGCAGGAAACAGGAAGGGCAGGAGAGAGCTAGCTAGCCCAGCTAGGCTGACTCAGGAATTCTGGGAGTTGAAGTCCATGAGTCATAAAAGAGACGAGGTTGCCTACCCCTGAGATTGTTGAAGAACAACTTGAAGCTTGCCAGGTGAGCAGCAGAGGGGGGGGGAGAAAGAGAGAGAGAGAAAGAGAGAGAGAGAGGGAGGGGGAGAGAGAGAGGAAAGAGAGAGAAAGAAAGAGAGTGGGGGAAGAGGAGTGGCAGACCAAGGGCAGAGAGGGAGGGAGGGAGAGAGACAGAGAGAGAGAGACCCTTTTGACATCTAAAATGAAGATAACACTACATATATCCTTTTTTTACCTGTGTGTGTAATTCTCTTAAAGCATTCTCTCGGTGATCATTGTTTTAATAGTATGGATATTCCCAAGAGTCATATTTTTACTTTTATTTTTAATGTGTGTGTGTGTGTGTGTGTATACACATACACATACACAAACACTCTCTCTCTCTCTCTCTCTCTCTCACACACACACACACACACACACACACACACACACACACACACACCTATAATAAAGATAAAAAAGGATATATGCAGTGTTATCTTCATTTTAGATATCAAAAGGGTTTTGCGGCTCCCAGTGTTTTGTTTTTGGTGGGAAACGGGTTCAAGTGGCTCTTTGAGTGTTTTGGGTTGCCTACCCCTGCTCTAGGGTCTGTAAATTGTTGCACACATTATGTACACAGTTAGTCAACAGTCATCTTGAATTGCGTCCCAACCTTAATTCAATCAATCAGAATAGAGCTGGAAGGGGCGTTGGAGGTCTTCTAGTCCAGCCCCCTGCTGAAGCCGGAGACCCTATATCATTACTAGATTACTACATTTAGTAATTGCTAACATCAAGCCGAGTAATTTGACTTTATGGAAGCTATATCTATAATTTCTTCATATTTGGTACTAAATATAGATATATCATTATACACATTCAGGGTCTTTACCCTCAGATGCCTGTAAGTGATGGAGAACAGGGGCCTTCAACCCCCGGTCCGTGGACCGGTACCGGGCCACGGCGTGCCAACAACCGGTCCACACAAACAAGCAAAGCCCCATCCACGGCATGGAGGCAGCACACAAAACCACGCACCCTCCAGTCCATGGAAAAACCTCTCTCCACGGAACTGGTCCCTGGTGCCCAAAAGGTTGGGGACCTCTGTACTAGGATAGTTAAAAAAAAAAAAAGCAATATAAATTGTTAGATACCAGCAGCAAAGTTATAGTCAGAAGAAGAGGATAGGTAGGAAAGATGTAGTAATACAGCTTTACTAAGTCGTTTGACAGTAGTTGTTAAACAGAGCGATGGCAAGGGAGGGAGAAAGATACTACGTGTTAAAAACATCTTTTAAAATGCTACTTTTCAAGGCCGGATCCAAAATACAGGCAGTCCTCCACTTACGATCACGAGCCCCCCATTTCTGTGACTAAACGAGCACATTTGGTCAAGTGAGTTTTGCCCCGTTTTACGACATTTCTTGCCGCAGCTGTAAAGCGAACCGCCGCAATTGTTAAGTAACGTGGTTGTTAAAGTTGATAGAAAAGGGGATCCCATGACCCCAGGACACTGTGACCGTCGTAAATAGGAGCCAGTTGACAAGCATTTGAATCATTTGGGTCACATGAGGGGGACTGTAGTGAAGGATTGCCTGCGCTGCTCGGCTAACGGAGAAAAACCTGTCCTGCGTATAGAAATATGCATTTAATGCAATGGTTCTCAACCTTTTTAATGCCGCGACCCCCAACCGGTCGTAAGTCGAGGACTACCCAACCGGTTGTAAGTCGAGGACTTTCCCTGCCCGGGAGCGCCACACATGTGTGATGCCGCCCCCTGCGCCAGCCGAGGCGTAGCTGGCAAGCGGCAGAGATGGTGCAGGCCGACCACTGGCTGGGCCACCAGCTGGCCCAGCCCAAGGGAGGTAAGGCACCCGCCGGGCCCCACACGCGCCAGCAACCCTCCCTGCGCCCGCCGGCCTCCCACCTCCCACCCCTGGCCCTCTTTTCCTTACATTTTTAGTAGTTGCTCAGCAGGGAGGGGTGGAAACTTCCAGACAGCTCGCCTTCGCTGCAGACAACTTGCAGCACCGTTTGCAGAATGGGACTTTTGGCGGGCTCAGCAGGGCAGAGACAGCCTGGACAATTCCTATTGGCTTTTGAAAGCCAATAGAATTAGACTCTATTCAAGAGAGTCTATTCTATTGGCTTTCAAAAGCCAATACAATAAAAGGGAGTAGCACAGCTAAGGGGGAAAAAAATGGCGGACTGCGTTGTTTGGCGACCCCCATGAAATGGTCGTTCGACCCCAAATGGGGTCCCGACCCACAGGTTGAGAACCACTGGATTAGAAGATTAGATAGATACAGATAGATAAATTAGATAGGTAGATAGATAGATAGATAGATAAGCTAGATGATAGATTGATAGATAGCTTAGATAGATAGATAGATAGGTAGGTAGGTAGGTAGGTAGGTAGGTAGGTAGGTAGGTAGGTAGGTAGGTAGGTAGGTAGGTAGATAATCTAATTGTACTAATTATACTTCTGATTTGGTTGCTAAAAATGTTACTTTAAATCCCATTAGTTAAAGGTAAATTATTGAAGAAAATAATTTATGACTGTCATTTAGTCATCTGAATATTACTGAAATGTTGTTACCGTTACAAATGAAAGCAAATATACGTGTTCCAGGATAATGTTGCAGGATCCAGCCTGGACAATTCCAATCGAATTAGACTCTATTCAAGAGAGTCTATTCTATTGGCTTTCAAAAGCCAACAGAATAAAAGGGAGTAGCACAGCTAAGGAAAAGGGGGACAAAAATGGCGGACTGCGTTGTTTGGCGACCCCCGTGAAATGGTTGTTCGACCCCAAATGGGGTCGCAACCCACAGGTGGAGAACCGTTGATTTAATGCATAATAAATAGATGGGGTTAAGAAACTAACTCACCATCTTCTTCGTTCCCAGGTTCTTCGTCTGCCACTTCCTCTAACTCTACAGTTTTTAGTTTAACTTCGGGATGGTACCCGTCCTCTTGTTTGTTGGACGGAGTAGTAGAGGTTACATTTTCTTCTGTTTTTTTCCTCTCCGCTTCTCGCTCCAGTTCCTCTATTTCCTGCAAACGTTTTTCTAGCAGCTCGGCCTGCCTCTTTTGCTTTTTTTTTAGTTTCTTCTTTTTATTTTTAGATATCTTTCCGATCTGGAAGGGGAAAACAGGAAAGAAAAAAAAAACCATCACAAATTAGTCTGGAATCACACAAGACAATTAGTTTGTTAGGTGTCGCTAATCTGCTGATGTTGCATAGATTAGTGATGGAGAGCCTATTACCCCTTCCTGTACGAAAACGCTGGAATCCTAAAAAGCTAATTTTCAGATACAAATCTCTTTTGTTTTTGTGGAATAAAAAAACAAGCTTAATATGCGACGCGGCCGTTTGCTTACCTGCTATCAACCAGCTTAAATCCATTTTTTCCAAACCATCTGCAAAAATCTGTCTGATAAAAAATACAGTCCAACAGTCAAAGCAACCTCACAATGGGAATACCGTTTGGTGTAGTTCTAGTCCAGGGGTCTTCAAACATGGCCCTTTGATGACTTGTGGACTTCAACTCCCAGAATTCCTCAGCCAGCCTCCATTTTGTTTGTTAGATTTAAGACAGGGGTCTTCAAACTTGGCCCTTTGATGACTTGTGGACTTCAACTCCCAGAATTCCTCAGCCAGCTCCATTTGTTTGTTAGATTTAAGACAGGGGTCTTCAAACTTGGCCCTTTGATGACTTGTGGACTTCAACTCCCAGAATTCCTCAGCCAGCCTCCATTTGTTTGTTAGATTTAAGACAGGGGTCTTCAAACTTGGCCCTTTGATGACTTGTGGACTTCCCAGAATTCCTCAGCCAGCCTCCATTTTGTTTGTTAGATTTAAGACAGGGGTCTTCAAACTTGGCCCTTTGATGACTTGTGGACTTCAACTCCCAGAATTCCTCAGCCAGCCTCCATTTTGTTTGTTAGATTTAAGACAGGGGTCTTCAAACTTGGCCCTTTGATGACTTGTGGACTTCAACTCCCAGAATTCCTCAGCCAGCGTGCCTGGCTGAGGAATTCTGGGAGTTGAAGTCCACAAGTCATCAAAGGGCCAAGTTTGAAGACCCCTGTTCTAGTCCCACCTTAGCCATGAAAGCCAGCTGGGTGACTTTGGTATTTGTGTGTGGGGAAAATAGGAGGAAGGAGTATCGTCTGTGTTTGCCACCCTTGAGTTATTAGTAAAGCTAATAAAGGCAGGATACAAATAAAATTAACAAAGATTTATCTGTGGCCTCAAAAATAATAAAATAAAATAAAATAAAATAAAATAAAATAAATAATGAAATAAAATAATAATAAAATAAAATAAAATATATAAAAAATAAATTAAAATAAAATAAACTAACATAAAATAAAATCTAAACTAAACTAATAAAATAAATAAAATATAAAATAAAATCTAAACTAAACTAAAATAATAAAAGAAAATAAAGAAAACAAAATAAAATCTAAACTAAAGTAAACTAATAAAATAATATACACTAAAATAAAATCTAAACTAAAATAAAATAAAATCTAAACTAAACTAATAAAATAAAATAAAATAAAAAACTAAACTAAACTAAACTAAACAAAATCTAAACTAAACTAAAATAAAATCTAAACTAAACTAAACTAAAATAAAATAAAAACTATATTAAAATAAAGTAAGTGTGCAGTATGGGGGCATAAAAGTTATTTTTACCCCACATCGTAGAATGTCGTGTTCTGAAGCTTTTGGGTAGCTACTGCCCATTAAAACTTAATATGGAGTCTTTCCTACAAAATATACCCAGTTCCCACTCAGAGGTTAGTTTCCTGGAATGGGCCAGCTGGAATGTACCATTTTGCAGCCATCAAAAGCAGGACGTAGGATGCTGTTTCAATCTGCCTTTTTTTTTTAAATTTCATGTTAAGAATGCATTGTTTAAGAAATGCATGGTGGAGAGCTCGGTAGCTATCAGAACGGACGGTCTCATCTTAAATTTCCCATTATAAATGCAGCTACTAAATCTATTTCGGCATTTAACTGATCCCACCTAAAACGCTGCCAGTTTCCATTATATTGTGACCATCGATATAAATTAGCAAAGCTATAAAGCTGAAGGAAGGCTGTTAAAAATCGCACTGAAGTCAACGTTGAGGGTGAAAAGGGGGGGGGGACGACACAGAGCACGGTGTATCTTTCTATACAGAAATAAATCCAATAAAGGCAACCGCTATAAAAATTCCCTACATGGTCTTATTAAAAAATGTGCTAAGCTAGTGAGATCCCTTCTTTCTTTCTTTTTTCCCACCAACCGTTGTTGAAATTTTCCCTTGCTTCGCAAGCAATTTGTCACGAATTATGGAAATTTCATCTTTGAAGAAAAATATGTTGCATAGCTGCTATTTTGGGCGAGTGGCATTTTAATGCTTAACTGCAGACAGGAATGTAGCCTTCACAGCCACACCAGAAGAAGCAAGCTATTATACACACCACACATGCAATAAAAATTCAAGGAAGGAAGGATGGGATAAATGACTTTCTCCAAAATAACCCTCTGGGTCCTGTCAAGTCTCCCCACCTATTTGTGCAGAGGAAACATATACAGGTCGTCCTCAATTTACAACAGTTCGTTTAGCGACCTTTCCAAGTTACAAGGCACGGGGAAAAAATGGCTTACGACCATTTTTTATCGTTTTAACTGTTGCCACATCAATCCCCAGGGTCACGTGAACAAAATTCAGATGCTTGGAAACTTGTATGTATTTACGACGGTTGCAGGCTCACATGATCCCCTTTTGGGACATTCTGACAAATAAAGCCAATGGGGGAAGCCAGAATCACTTAACAACCGTGTGACTAATTTAACAACTGCAGTGATTCACTTTAACAAATGTGGAAGGAAAATCGTAAAACAGAGCAAAACTCATTTAACAAAGGTCTCATTTAGCGACAGAATTGTTGGGCTCCACTGAGGTCGTAAGCTGAGGACTACCTGTGCTTGGTGGTTTTATTTAAGCTAAGGGGCATAACATGTTTTAAAATCCAGTGGCAAATATAACGCATGGTGAATGTTATGCAGAAGACTTGACGTCAGATAACATTTAAAATGTTTTTATCTTTCAACCATCGAAACAAAAGAATCAGGTACGTAATAACAATAATGTGACAGTACTTACAGGCTTTTGTTGTGGGGCAGTGCTCACTAAAAAATAAAATAAGAGACAGCCAGAGTCACATTTAGGAATATTCAAGTGTATGTTTAAAAAAATAGCAAACAATGGATATAAGACTCAGCCAGAGACAAATTCCTTGTGTGTCCGATCACACTTGGCCAATAAAGAATTCTATTCTGTCCTGTTCTGTTCTATTCTGTATTTGTATTCTCTATTCTATATCCTATTCTCCCATCTATCCTGCTTGGATCCCAATGTTCCTAGCCAAGCAACAATCCATTCCAAACTCTGTTCTCCTTCCAGAAAAACCTGAGACGTTCAGTCACAGGATGACAACATTATTACAGGCCGAGAGAGATTTCTATATATTGCCCAGGTAGAACTGGAACGTTCAATCCAGCTTCAAACCTGTTCAAAGAATGAACTAGGATGCGCAAATAAAGGTGTTGGGAAATGTTTTGACCTCTCTAACAAAGTTAAATGAATGGAATGGAATGGAATAGAATAGGAAATAATAGGAATAGAATAGAATAGAATAGAATAGAATAGAATAGAATAGAATAGAATAGAATAGAATAGAATAGAATAGAATAGAATAGAATAGAATAGAATAGAATATAGGAATGAAGAATAGAATGGAATGGAATGGAATGGAATAGAATAGAATAGAATACAATAATGAAGAATAGAATAGAATAGAATAGAATAATGAAGAATAGAATAGAATAGAATAGAATAGAATAGAATAGAATAGAATAGAATAGAATAGAATAGAACAGAAAATATGGAACAGAACGGAACAGAACAGAATAGGAATTCAAATGGAATGGAATAGGGAACAGAATAGGGAACAGAACAGAACGGAACAGAGCAGACAACCTTTATTGTCATTTTTTACTGGCACACATTAAAAATGAAATTTTGTTGTTTGCTCTCTCCAAAGTGTACACATACATAATACACATTTAAGCATGCTATATACAACATATGTATAAACCTACGCCCTTATGTATAAATATAAATATTAATCGTGTGTGTGTGTGTGTGTGTGTTAAAAGAAATACACTCTTCTTCCTTTCGTATGGCAAAGTGGCTGAAAATTTACACGTTCCCATTAAGTGCCTTTAAAACGTATTATCATTCCCATTAAGCAAAATCGACCCAGGGTTATTACACCATGGCTTGCTGAAAACACGAAATTTTAAACTCTACCTGCGGAGCCAGAGGGAGGAGGGGCTCCTGCTTTCTGCCACTCAGTAGCTTCCGCCGCCATTCTCCGCACGTAGGTGTCATCTACACACATCAAGATGTTTTCTGGTTTGATATCCGTATGAATGATCTTACATTTGCTGTGGAGGTAATCTAAACCCTGCAATACCTGATTACAAAATATTCAGATGGAGAATAAGGGCATTACCATCAAAAACAGCCACGCGGGTCAGGATTCAACAGTTTTAGCACCAACAGGAGTTTATTCCTAGCCTTCCAGATGTTGCTTAATTTCAGCATTACGAATAGGGCGACATTAAAAAAAAAAAATTCCCCAAAGTAATATTCTGAAAATCATGAGCCCTGGTGGTTAGAATGCGGTACTGCAGGCCACGTCTACAGTTCGATCCTGACTAGCTCAAGGTTGACTCGGCCTTCCATCCTTCCGAGGTTGGTAAAATGAGGACCCAGATTGTTGGGGGCCATAGGCTGATTCTGTAAACCACTCAGAGAGAGCTGTAAAAGCACTACAAAGCAGTATATAAGTCTAAGTGCTAGTGCTATGCCTGTATTAAATGCTATGTAAGACTGGCTGAGACAAGCACAACGTCATTTCATGTACTGCTACATGTTGTAACATGCAGTTTTTCGGCTATTAAGAATAATGTCAGTAACTAATTGTCTAAACTGGAACTCCTCAAATATTCCTATTTCCAAGTATTAAGATCTCGGTGTTTTATAACTTTACACTCATGAGGAATTCCTGGCCAGGTTTCTCCTTAACACCACAAATAGCTGGAAGTAATCCAAAAAAAAAGGGGGGGGGACTAAAAACACAATATTTCCACGTTTTGCTGGACCAGACATGTCAAGCTTGCGACGTCACGTGACGTCGCGCAATGTATCGGGACAGTTTTGCTATTGCCGGCAATGGGATGGGCACAGCTTCCGCGTGACGCATCCGGCCCGCGGGCCGGCAGTTTGACACCCCTGTGCTAGACAATGATATATTAATACCTAAACTGACATATTAAATACCAAAACCTTACCTGTTTTATTATACTTTTTACACAATGGATCGGAAGGCCCTGATAGCTGGACTTAATTATCCATTTTAAAAGGTGATGTCCGAGTACCTCAAAAACCATACAGACATCTGTGTTTCCATTAAGGATAAATGGCAAGGGATTTTTATTGGCGCACAATTGTGTTTACAGAGCCATTACAAAGAGGACTTCTGCTGCAATTGCACGATGGAACGGACTCTTTTGCAAGGTTCTTATATAAAGTAAAGACAAGCGTTAAGATAAATTGCACAGCCCCAGACTGGACCCATCAAGAATAAACATGGGCAGATAAATACGATCATGAGGACCAGTTTGGTGTGGTGGTTAAGGCATCACGCTAGAAACCGGAGACTTGTGAGTTCCAGTCCTGTTTTAGACATACATCCAACTGAGTGACCCTGGGCCAGTCACTCTCCCTCAGCCCTAGGAAGGAGGGAATGGCAAACCACTTTTGAGAAACTTGCCAAGGAAACTGATGGAGTATCCAAGGATCGATCACAATTGAATGGGGGGGGGGAAATACGAGCAGGGTCTACAGATTAACTTTATGAAATAAAATGCTTTAATAAAATAGCGAGAGAAAAAAATAAAAGCTCATAATGTATGCAGATGAGATGGCTGGATGGAGTCACTGAAGCAGTAGGTGTGAATTTAAATGGACTCCAGAAGATGGTAGAGGACAGGAAGACCTGGAGGAATGTTGTCCATGGGGTCGCGATGGGTCGGACACAACTTCGCAATTAACAACAACAACAATGTATGCAGAACATCCCTGTGACACCAACTCATGCGACTGCAAAAGGTATTTTCAGTCTAGTATAAGCCAAAAGAACGTAAATTATTCCTGTAGCAATGACGCCTTGTAAATAATTACAATTATAACAGGGATCTTCAAACTTGGCCCTTTTATGACTGGTGGACTTCAACTCCCAGAATTCCTCAGCCAGCCATGCTGAGGGGAAAGGGAGAGGTTTCCAAGCTGAGCCATGCTGGCTAAGGAATTCTGGGAGTTGAAGTCCACGAGTCATAAAAGGGCCAAGTTTGAAGACCCCTGAATTATAATGAAACATCGATCTGTTATAGAATCAGCTGGTGTTTTATTTAGTGACAGTGTATATGTTTGACTGTCAAAAGTAGACAATATGGAAACAGACCCATTCCCATAGATATAAAAATAGACAAAGGTGCAAATATAAATATTACATTGCATTATACAAATTAAAAGATTACAAAATAAATATTGTATATTGTAATATAACTTGCTAGTTGTATTTACGGCACTCAAGGACATTGAGTTTAGAACAGTTTAGAACATGAAAACCTTTATGTGGTCAGTATTTTAAGAAAGGCTGGCTATTTTGAAAGATAACTCCCGTATAAACCTGAATAATCTGAAATTTAAAGTCTTATTTTCCAAAAATATAAAAAGATAAACCCCGTATAAACCTGAACAATCTGAAATTTAAGTACAAAAGTACTTCCAAAAGTACAAAAATATTCAAATTATTACAAAAGTTATTGACCATATCACCTATTTTTAAAAGTGTAAAAATGCCAATTTTGGAGTTTTATAAGAAAATACAGGTGAGCACTCAAAAAACATATGACTTTCTTTAACCACTGTATGAAATGTCTGAACGATCGCTGAAATATCCTTATACTTTAAAAAATATTTATTTCTTAAAATAATAATAAAGTTGGAAGGGGCCTTGGAGGTCATCTAGTCCAACCCCCTGCTTTCTACAGCATTTCCCACCATAATAATTCATTCTTAGAGAACTGACCCACTAACGTAGCATAATATTCTGAAGGGGATGAACAAGCTCTTCTAATATTGCTTAAAAAGGAAAGGCAGAAAAGATACGTATGCCGTTCAAGCCAGAAATTTTAAAGTCGTCAATTAATTGCACCACCATGTCTTTATTTGGATCGTTAGGGTCACTTTCACGGACCTAAAAACAAAGACGAGAAACATCATGTTACAGTTTAGATTAAGAAGCGGCAACATTTATATTTTAACCACTTATTTTAAAGGCAAGGCAGGTATCATAGTTCCAAAAGAGAAGTCCTAAGCAAGAGGTTTCCTTAAAAAAAACCTATTTATTGGCTACAAAGTACGGGCATGGTCAAAGATGAAACCAAGACCGAAGGCATAACTGTAGGTTATTATGAGAAAGAGGGTATAAATTTGATTTTACACATATTAACTGCGGCAAGAATTGTACTCCCTCAATATTGGAAAAATGAAGATCTACCAGCGAAGGAAGTGTTAATTAAAAAAAATCTTAAAAGTGTGCAGAAATGGATAGATTGACTTTGAAAATGAAAGAGAAAGAAGACTCATTTTATTTTAGAACAGGGGTGTCAAACTCAATTTCACTGAGGGCCGCATCAGCACTGCGGTTGCCCTGGGGGGGGGCGGGTGGGTGTGGCTAGAGTGGGTGCAGCCTACTGGATGGGTGTGGATGGAGTCGGTGTGGCCTACTGGGTGGGCGTGCCCAGTTCTACATCATTCGTGTCAAGGGTGCCTGTGGGGGCCTGGGCAGGAGTGGGACAGATCTGAGGGTCTTTGGCAGAAGGGGGTGGGACTGGGGCAAGGGCCAAGGCATGGTCCACTGGGGCAAGTGCCAAGATGGCCACCACAAAATTGTACATTGGCTCCCGGCCGGCCTGGGCCAGGGCCAAGGCAATGGGGGCCGTTCCCTCACTGTTTCCAGGATGGCTTCGCGGGCCACATGAAAACACTTCGCGGGCCGCATCCGGCCCCCGGGCCTTGTGTTTGACATGTCTGCTTTAGAACATGGAATACTTTTTATCATTGGCTAGAAAAATGAGGCAGAGAGAAAGGAACTTACTGTGTATTAGTAAAGTAGGCATTGAAACCCAGACAAAGTGTTGCTGACAATATTTTAAGCAGTTGTGATTATAAAAAAACTAATATATAGCAACCCGCCAAAACCTCAGCAGCAGTGACCTTGGTTCCCACAGGACAATTTATTGTTTTGTCTAACCTTAAAAGCACACATCCTCCCCCCTCCCAACTGTGGCCACCCAAAACAAAGTTGCGGCGTTGACAGTAGGTTTGAACAGGCCTTGTGGTTTTCACTGCCTTCCTGGACTCCTAAAATTAAGTCGTAAAATTACCTACAACTGTAGAAGCGCTTTTCAATTCATCGCTCGAAAGAATGGGACGTTGTCTTGATACTTACACACTTCAGCAATTTTATTTCATCCAAGGCTGTCTCCGTATAATGTTGAGCGCTTTTCACAACTTTCATTGCGACAAACCGTTTCCCCCTTTAAAATAATAGTTAATATATAGAGAGAGATTTATCAATATTATATTCTTTTTTCTATTTAAAGGAAGAAATAGAGAAAACAGAGACACTAAGTACAAGTTCACTACAAATGATAACTAGGCAGGATCCCATTTGGATTGGTCAACCGGGACCAGAGGTTTAATCTTCCAAGCTTTTGGACTCGTGCTGAAGACCAACTTCTGGAAACTTCTCTCTGTCCAGAATGTGTGCTTTGATCTATATTCTATGTGTAATATTTATGTGGTGCCTTCCTATTGGTTGACTGGTCTATTGAGGGCCAGTGATTAGCTGTCGTTTCCTTGTGCTGCCATTGTAACTTCAAAGGGTCACTAAAAGAAGGATTGTAAGTCGAGGACCACCTGTGTTTTCTACGATTTCCCAACACTCAATGACAGCATAAGGAAACAATAGCCAATCACCAGCCATCACCAGACCAATCAACCAATAGGAAGGCACCACAATAAATATTACACATAGAAGTTCCCTGAGAATGGGCTCCAACACAAATCTGAAAGCTCAGAAGTTTTAAGCTTCTGGTCCTGGTCCAATTAGGATCCTGCAACATTATCCCGGAACACGTATATTTGCTTTCATTTGTAACGGTAACAACATTTCAGTAATATTCAGATGACTAAATGACAGTCATAACCTTTTCTTCAATAATTTACCTTTAACTAATGGGATTTAAAGTAACATTTTTAGCAACCAAATCAGAAGTATAATTAGTACAATTAGATTATCTATCTATCTATCTATCTATCTATCTATCTATCTATCTATCTATCTACCTACCTACCTACCTACCTACCTATCTATCTATCTATCTATCTATATCTAATCTATCTATCTATCTATCTATCTATCTATCTATCTATCTATCTATCTATCTATCTATCTACCTATCTATCTATCTATCTAATTATCTATCTAATCTATCTATCTATCTATCTATCTATCTATCTATCTATCTATCTATCTAATTATCTATCTAATTATCTATCTATCTATCTATATCTTATCTAATCTATCTATCTATCTATCTATCTATCTATCTATCTATCTATCTAATCTATCTAAGCTATCTATCAATCTATCAATCTATCATCTAGCTTATCTATCTATCTATCTATCTATCTATCTATCTATCTATCTATCTATCTATCTAATTTATCTATCTGTATCTATCTATCTAATCTTCTAATCCAGTGGTTCTCCACCTGTGGGTCGGGACCCCTTTTGGGGTCGAATGACCATTTCACGGGGGTTGCCAAACAATGCAGTCCGCCATTTTTTCCCCCTTTTCCTTAGCTGTGCTACTCCCTTTTATTCTATTGGCTTTTGAAAGCCAATAGAATAGACTCTCTTGAATAGAGTCTAATTCTATTGGCTTTCAAAAGCCAATAGGAATTGTCCAGGCTGTCTCTGCCCTGCTGAGCCCGCCAAAAGTCCCATTCTGCAAACGGTGCTGCAAGTTATCTGCAGCGAAGGCGAGCTGTCTGGAACTTTCCACCCCTCCCTGCTGAGCAACTACTAAAAATGTAAGGAAAAGAGGGCCAGGGGTGGGAGGTGGGAGGCCGGCGGGCGCAGGGAGGGTTGCTGGTGCGCGTGGGACCCGGTGGGTGCCTTACCTCCCTTGGGCTGGGCCAGCTGGTGGCCCAGCCGATGGTCGGCTTGCGCCGTCTCTGCCACTTGCCAGCTACGCCTCGGCTGGAGCAGGGGGCGGCACCACGCATGCGCAGCGCTCCCGGGCAGGGAAAGTCCTCGACTTACGACCGGTTGGATAGTCCTTGACTTACGACCGGTTGGGTAGTCCTCGACTTATGACTGGTTGGGGGTCGCGGCATTAAAAAGATTGAGAACCACTGTTCTAATCTATCTTATCTATCAATGTATCTTATCTATCTAATCTATCTATCTATCTATCTATCTATCTATCTATCTATCTATCTATCTAATTATCTATCCATCCATCCATCCATCCATCCATCCATCCATCCATCCATCCATCCATCCAATAAAAACAAGATGCAGAGAGAAAGAACATATCTTACTGCATGTCCCAGCATAGCCAGACTGTAGAGAAGTGACCCCATCCTAATTTTCTGATAACGTGATATCGACCATTGAAAAGATCTCCAATTTTCACTGGATGGTAGCCACCTTTCCAAAAAATAAAAGGATATAATTAAGGATATAATTTAATTTGCAGCATTTTACTTACGTATGCATGAAAGGATCTCAATATCGCCAGCTACCTACAGAATTGCAAATGTAAACGTTTGCATAGACCTTTGCTGACTAAAATGGAACAATTCTGAGAAGACATGCCTAAGATTGCATTGCTGGATTTAATTTGTTGTTCCAAAAATATCCGGCAACACACTTTAAAGATTTAATTGTTTTCTGAAGCTTCATTGTATCGTAATTGCGAAGACAGTACCTTAGTCTATGAAAATATTTCATCCCTCCACCCCTCCTTCCATCCATCTAGCCCTCCCTCCCTCCTTCCACCCACCCATCCATCCAAATCTCCTTCCACCCATCCATCCATCTATCTAAGCCTCCCTCCCTCCACCCACCCACCCACCCGTCCACCCATCCATCCCTTCCTCCACCCATCCATCCATCCGTCTATCCATCCATCCAACCAACCCTTCCTCCACCCACCTATCCATCCATCCATCCATCCATCCATCCATCCATCCAACCCTCCCTCCTTCCATCCATCCATCCATCCACCCACCCATCCATCCAACCTTCCATCCATCCATCCATCCATCCATCCATCTAACCTTCCATCCATCCATCCAACCCTCCCCCCTCCATCCAAACATCCATCCATCCATCCATCCATCCATCCAACCCTTCTTCCATCCATCCAACCTTCCATCCATCCATCCATCCCTTCCTCCACCCACCTATCCATTCATCCATCCATCTAACCTTCCCTCCCTCTACCCATCCATCCACCCATCCATCCAACCTTCCTTCCATCCATCCATCTAACCTTCCATCCATCCATCCATCCATCCAACCCTCCCTCCCTCCCTCCAACCTTCCATCCATCCACCCATCCAACCCTTCCTCCACCCACCTATCCATCCATCCATCCATTCATCTAACCCTCCCTCCCTCCATCCAACCTTCCATCCATCCATCCATCCATCCATCCACCCATCCATCCATCCAACCCTTCCTCCACCCACCTATCCATTCATCCATTCATCCATCCATCCAACCCTCCCTCCCTCCACCCATCCATCCATCCATCCAACCTTCCATCCATCCATCCATCCAACTTTCCATCCATCCATCCAACCCTCCCTCCCTCCATCCAACCTTCCATCCATCCACCACCCATCCATTCAACCCTCCCTCCACCATCTGTCCATCCAACCTTCCATCCATCCATCCATCCATCCATCCCTCCCTCCACCCATCCGTCCGTCCATCCATCCATCTAACCTTCCTTCCTTCCATCCATCCATCCTTCCAACCCTCCCTCCACCCATCCGTCCGTCCATCCATCCATCTAACCCTCCTCCCTCCCTCCCTCCAGTATATAAAGCTATCCATTTGTCCCATTTTATTGGGTGGTGAACCCAATAAAAATAAGACATTTCATTGACCAACAAAATCAAATAAAACCAAACTGAAGTTCAGTAAAACACAAACCCATTAACCACATGCACACATATCACAGCTCTCGTAGGTAACTCATTTCCAATTGGTCTGTGTTTGTTTCAATGGAAAGTTCCCTGCTTCCCTTCCCTCTACCAAGACTTTATCAATACAACACTTTAATACCAGTATCAAATTCTTGATGTTCTAGACCTCATTTTAGTGAGTTGAATGAAATGGGGGGGGGGACTTCGCTTAGATAAAATCCCTTTTTGGTATTTTATGGATCCACAAAATACATAAAACGCTCCCTATGTTACATTACAGTCCTATTCTATACCAGTGCAAATTCTGATTTATCGTTTTAGTATATGCAAATAATATAGGCAAACTCATTCAAATTAAACAAACATTCAGTATTAACAGGATCCCCACCACATTAACTGATTAAAATGAGAGCTTATTTTATTAGATATCCTATCAGCATTTCTCTATCAAAGGCTGTTATATTGTATTAGATCAAAATACATTTTTTTTGGTTATGGCTTACCTTACTTTATACATTCATTCTGGTTTATAAACACAGATTATCGTTCAACACAGTGTGTGAGCACAATAACTGCCATTTATTTTGCAAACCACAATAAAATAAGCCATGGCTTGGCCTGAAAATACTCTCTACGTGTTACACAAGTACTGTTTACTATTAAAACAGAAAAAAATCTTTATTCAACGTCTTCTCTACAAAGTTGCAGTATTAATAAGGACTACCCCACTAGCAGTTGTGTCTCACTTGTAGACCAGCTCAAGTAAATGCAGCTCCCAAAGTTTATACAAAATCATTTCTAAGATTCAGAGTTTGCAACTGCTGCAAAATGAAGACACTCCAATGAGCCTTTGATTCGTTTCAAATCGCACCCAATGACATTTCAAATTATTTCCCAAATTTCAATTATTGGCGTTTGCCAGTACAAAAGTCCTCAGAAATTGAAAATGTTCTCAATTGGTTAGGTAATCTTGGTCCTTCAAATGTCAGTGTAATTCCCATCAGCCTCTTTAGCCTAGCCCAGTGGGCGAGGAATTTGGGGAGATCAGGAATAAGTGGGAGACGTAACTTGATCTAAATTCCCTGATCTAAATTCTCTGTGACAGCCGTGAAGAACACATCTGGATAATTACAATCAAGTTACGAATCATTTATTTTCTAAATCTGAAATACTCCGTTGTCATTTTTTTTTTTTAAGAAAGGCAAATAAGTTAATTCAAAAGCAAACTGGAGGTCACAAACCGTACAGAAAGAAAAAAAAAAGGGGGGGGGGTTATTAGCATCTGAAAAAAAAAAACACCTACATGATTAGGCAGAGGAAAAAGCTGTCACTTTTCAATGCTTCTTCAAAACATCTGCCTTTGAAAGTTAGGGATTTCCAGAGTATTTAATTCTTCATTTCTTTTTTTTTTTTTTCAAGAGAAACTTCACTAGGGATATAAACTGTCAATTCACCTTACAGTACAGGCTATCAGACCAGTCTCAAGGAGACTACGAAGGGAAGAATTTGTCCAAAAATTTGCACTCCTCACCATCCAGGCAGAGCTGAAGAAGCCTCTGGGATGAGAAGCGAAATGTTTTCAAAAGAAATATAAGGCAGTCCAGTTTCCTCCTGGAAAAAAAAGCACCTTTGCCCAAAATCTGGATCAATCTGCTTATCAAGGAGGATTAATATATGCAAATATGAAAGAAAAACACACTAAAATTCGTGTTGTCATTTGAGAGACTAATTTAGTATTTGCAATCAAAATGCAAGCACACCCTAGGGCAGCGGTTCTCAACCTGTGGGTCGGGACCCCATTTGGCGTCGAACGACCATTTTACAGGGGTCGCCAAACAACGCAGTCCGCCATTTTTTCCCCCTTTTCCTTAGCTGTGCTACTCCCTTTTATTCTATTGGCTTTTAAAAGCCAATAGAATAGACTCTCTTGAATAGAGTCTAATCCTATTGGCTTTCAAAAGCCAATAGGAATTGTCTAGGCTGTCTCTGCTCTGCTGAGCCCGCCAAAAGTCCCATTCTGCAAACGGTGCTGCACCAGTTGAGTAGTCCTCGACTTACGACCGGTTGAGTAGTCCTCAACTTACGACAGGCTGGGGGTCGCGGCATTAAAAAGGTTGAGAACCACTTCACTAGGGCATTCGGAAAATCTACTTAAATAGATAAGTAAAGCTGGCTGGGCTTTATTTTTATTTTTAACCCATTCAACCATTTTTAAAAATCTGCACCCACTAATAATTAATCTTTCCTTATGTACATACAGAATTTTCACGCGCTGTTCTTACGTAATACTATCTTAGCGGCAATGAAAAAAAAATCAGCCAACGTCATTTTAACAAGTCTATATTCTGAATGGCAAAAAGAAAAACCAAGGTAAAAAAAAATGTGACATTCGGCATCAATTCTATCGCTCTTTTAAAAAGAGCTGTTCTGTAACAAGAAGGCCACAAAGCCAAGAGTGAAAATGTTTCACGTGATGGAGGGCTGTCTGGCTTGGAAAAGAAAGAAGTAGAAATACAGAGATGATTCCTTTGCAAAGTACCTCTTGAATGTGCTATTATTTTAAGCTGGCAAATGGGGGGGGGGAAATTCCTGCCTTTGTTAGCTCAATGAATAGGAGACATCGCCAGAGTCTAGAATTAAAAAAAGAGCTAAAGAAAAGAAAAAACGTCTAGTCCACCAAGGAAAAGACACGTGGACCTGTGGCACACAAACTCTACAGGAGTTTCCAACTGTTCTAGGCACATCTGGACTGCTCTTTATTTACTGACTGTTCTGGGCACATCTGGACAGCTATTTACTTACTTATTTACTTACTTAATTGGTAAAGGAGACTATCTGTAATCAGGGTTTGTATGGTGGGGTCCTTGGTGCTTGCTAACCTTGGTGGTTTTCTTGAAGACGTTTCATTATCCAAACTAGGTAACATCATCCGTGCTAGAGCAAGCAGTGAGGTTTGCTCTCAATTTAATTTTCTACTGCAGGGGTCCCCAATCCCCGATCCATGGACTAGTACCGGGCCGCGGCATGCCAGCAACCAGTCCACACAAACAAGCAAAGCCCCATCTGCACACAAAACCACGTCCCCTCCCCTCCGGTCCGTGGGAAAACCTCTCTCCACGGAACCGGTCCCTGGTGCCCAGAAGGTTGGGGACCACTGCCCTAGTTCAGGGGTCTCCAACCCCCCCAGTCTGTGGACCAGTACCGGGTCACAGCAGGCCAGCAACCGGTCCGCACAAACAAGCAAATCCCCATCTGCACACAAAACCACATCCCCCCCTCCGGTCCGTGGGAAAACCTCTCTCCACGGAACCGGTCCCTGGTGCCCAAAAGGTTGGGGACCACTGCCCTAGTTCAGGGGTCCCCAACCCCTCAGTCTGTGGACCAGTACCAGGTCGCGGCAGGCCAGCAACCGGTCCACACAAGCAAGCAAAGGCCCATCTGCACACAAAACCACATACCCCCCCCCCTCCGGCCTGCGGAAAAACCTCTCTCCACGGAACCGATCCCTGATGCCCAAAAGGTTTGGGACTCCTGCCCTACTTCAGGGGTCCCCAACCCCCCCGGTCTGTGGACAAGTACCGGGCCGCGGCAGGCCAGCAACCGGTCCACACAAACAAGCAAAGCCCCATCTGCACACAAAACCACGTGTCCCCCCCCCGGTCCGCGGGAAAACCTCTCTCCACGGAACCAGTCCCTGGTGTCCAAAAGATTGGGGACCTCTGTTCTAGTGTACTGTCTAGTTTGGTAATGAAACATTGGCAGGAAAGCAACCCATTTCAGTGAGCACCAAGGACCATTAATTAATTAATTAATTTCATTCAGAGACTACCCATTTCACTCACAGAATGACTCTGGGTTGAATACAATGAAAAAATATTGCTTCCTCTTTCCCCCATCTAATTTGGAAATCAAGAGAAAGCAGGGACTCAGAACTGCTGGCCGAGGTTCTTCAAACTACCCTTCGCTGGGATTAATCAAATGAGAGAGGTTTTTTTTTTAAATACTCATCACCTACCTATTAAAAATCATTTAATGAATCGGTGTCACTAACGAGCCGAAATTCTGCAATCCAAAACTGGAATCAGACGTTATATACATATGAACCCACAAGCGCTACTGTTGAGAAATAGTTAAAAGTATATGTATAGTGGTACCTCGGTACTCGTTGTTAATTGATTCCGGGAGCCACAATGAGTACCAAAAACGATGAGTACCAAACAAATGTTTCCCATAAGGCATAATATAGTAAGTCACAAGGCAGCTGACACGGACAAATTCTAGCTTGTGGGTTGAGTACCGAACAAATGATGAGCAACGGGACAAATGTTTCACGTCAAAATCCACTGAATACCAAATTCGATGAATTCCAATGTACCACTGTATAAGAAGACTATACGCTATTTCAACTATAACATGGGAAGGTGTTATGGTGCTGAATCTCAACCATTCATGCTTCCTTGTTAGGTTAAAGGGTTTGTTGGTTTCAGTGCCAAGACATACAATAAAGCAGGGGTCCCCGACCCCCGAGTCCCTGGACCAGTACCGGGTCACGGCATGGCAGCAACAGGGCCACACAAACAAGGAAAGCCCCATCCGCGGGATGCAGGCAGCACGCAAAACCACTCCCCCCCTTCGGTCCGCGGAAGGTAGATTCAATTGATAACAGGAAATATTTCAGTGGTGGCGAACCTATGGCACGCGTGCCAGAGGCGGGCACATGTGCCGTTGCCCCAGCCTTGCTTCCCCGTGACCCCCTCCTCTCTAGCAGCCCCCCTGAAGGAGAGTCGCCCCCGAGCGTGGCCCACGCGGAGCAGCGCAGCCAAGGACATGACAGCCAGGTAGAGTAGACAAGACTCTGCCCTCCCACCCCATCACGCAGTTGACGCTGCAGGGCACAGGCAGAGAGTGTGACCACCATAGTGCTGCTGGGCTGCCTGGGCGATCTGCGGCGGGCCCTGGAGGCGGTGAGTGGTCCTGTGGGCAGGCGGGGCAGGGGATGGGGGGCAGAATGGGGGCGGGCAGGGAGGGTGGAGCAGGGGCACGACCAGTTTTTGGACACTCGGTCTCTAAAAGGTTTGCCATCACTGATGTGTCCTTAATAGTATTAAAAACATGAATCCCGGGTATACACATAATGTGAAGTAAAGTAAGGTGATCACCAAGATAAAATCATAAACACAAATGTTTAATCTACAAAACCAAGCTTTCGTCGGCCACACTACCGACATCGTCAGGGTATAAAATGCTGGATCCGGGAGTCCGTTTTTATGTGGCTGGCTGCCTCTGCGCTTTGACCCTGGATAGGCAAAGCATAGGCAAGCATCCAGTTGTCCTGACGGTGCTTTTCCAAAAAGCAAGTGGACTTTCTTGTTTTTTTCCTCGAACTTTTCGCTCCTCATCCCAGAAGCTTCTTTGGTTCTGACTGGTTTTCAACGGGGAAAAAAAAGAAAAACAAAAAAACCCCAAGAAAGCCTTTGGAAAAAGCATCTTTGGGACAGCCGTGACCTGGATGGATTGATGATCTCCACAGGCATCCAAGCATCCTGTTCTAATCATTAATCCCGTTATTTTTAACCAACTTACCTTTGCAATAATCTGCAGGATCTTCCTGTTCCTCATCATCGGATCCTAGAATTTCTTCCTCTGGTTCCGGCGGGGTCGGTTCTGGCAACGGTGGTGGTGGAGGAGGAGGTGGCGGCGGTGCGGAGGGAACTTTTTGTGGAGGCTCTGGCCTACAAATAAAATATATGGATATGTATATATATATTTGTCCTTGATTATGCTAAAACTACAAATCCTGGGTATACTCATTCTTGAAAAAAACAATTGAACACCAGGATAAAATACAAACAAAACTGTTTAATACACTTAGCTTTCGTCGGCTAGCTGCCGATGTCATCAGAGTAAAATGCTGGCCTTTTGGGAGCTTGCTTATGAGATTCCCAGGTCTAGGAACACACGGACTGATGTGGGACACCTAGACACAATATGGCCAATTGGGGCAGGTAAACCAGTAACTCGCTCCATGAGCAGAGCGCAAAAATGGCTGGCTTCATAAGCAAGCTCCCAAAAGGCCAGCATTTTACTCTGACGATGTCGGCAGCTAGCCGACGAAAGCTAAGTGTATAAAACAGTTTTGTTCTGCAGTCATACTTTTTACAATCTCTATATACATGTTCAGAAAGTAAAACTCTGGAGCAAATTTCCCAAGAGCTTCCTCTTTCCCTGGCTTTTAATTCAAACATTCCTTCAGAAAGATGACAATTTATTCCGCGCGGGCTACAGAAATGAATCTGAAAAATGTTACAGGACATGGCAGGGATTTTTATGTAGGATTTAAAGTGCAGGCGCGGACCCATAAAATCAGATTAAAAGACAGGAGGAAAGCCACTAGCTCTGTTCCCCAACCTGGTCAGTATAAACTACCGTCATTTGAATAAAATGGTACTATCCAGATCCAAATTGGGTCAGTCACTGGGACCGAAGGTTTCGGTCTTCCGAGCTTACAGACTCGTGCTGGAGCCGGTCCTCAGGGAACTTGTCTCTCACTAGAATGTGTGCGGCTCTGGATGTGGTATTTATAGTGCCTGTTGTATGTGGCTTTCTAGATATTATTAGGGTGTGTTGCTAGAAGTCATTGGATGTTTCTTTGTTTGTGCTGCCCAGTCCTCACTTCTTAAGGACTTGATAGACTGGGGGTAAATCAGCATTCCCGCTCACTGGAGAGGGGCCCGTTTCCCAGGCTTCAATCCCTGAGCAGGCTGTTTTTGTGCCTGCTCATCCGACAATCGTAGTAGCGGCAAAACTGAATCTAGCCCACACCCTGCTAGAGAGGAAAAGGCTGAGGATGGGTTCCAGCATGGAAGGCAAAACCCAGATTGGATCCTGCAACATTATCTCGGGACACGTATGTTCACCTCTGTTCGTAAAAACGGTACTTCTTTCAAGATGTGACGCTTTTTTAAAAAAACTTTGCTCACAGCAGCAAAAGGACCGCAACTTCGCTTACAGGTAGCCCTCGACTAACAAGCACAGCTGAGACCAGGTTTTCTGTTGCTAAGCAAGACTGTTGTTCGGCGAATCGGGCCTAGTTTTATAGCGTTTTTTTCTGATGCGGTTGTTAAGTGAATCACTGTTCTTGAGGGAACCCTGCAATCGTTAAGTAAATGTGCCCTCCCCCCCCCAAGGACTCTGCTTGAGGTTGTATCAAATGGCAATCCCATGACCCCGGGATGCTGCAACTGTTGTAAATATATGGGGGTTGCCAAGCACCCAAATTTTGATCACATGATCATGGGGATGCTGTGACAGCTGTAAGTATGAGGAATGGTGCATAAGCAGTGGTGGGATTCAGCCGGTTCGCACCACTTCGGCCGAACCAGTAGCTAATTTTTTTGTTGCTCAGGCCCAGAACAGATTTCCAGAAGCGGCATCCACGCAGAGAACCGGTTGTTCACTTATTTGAATCCCACCACTAGATGGATGGATGGATGGATGGATGGATGGATGATAGATAAGAGATAGACAGACAGACATAGATATAGATAGACAGAAAGATAGACAGACAGACAGACAGACAGACAAACAGAGATATAGATAGACAGGCCGACAGAGATATAGATAGACAGAGAGACATATGCAGACAGACAGACAGAGATATAGGTAGGTAGGTAGGTAGGTAGGTAGGTAGGTAGGTAGGTAGGTAGGTAGGTAGGGTGGTGGGATTCAGCCGGTTCGTACCACTTTGGCAGAACCGGTAGCTAATTTTTTTTGTTGCCCAGGCCCAGAATGGACTTCTGGAAGCAGTATCCACACAGAGAACCAGGTGTTCATCTATTTGAATCACTAAACGAATGGCTGCAAGTTGAGGACTGCCTGTATAAAAAAATTGAAATTTCTATAACTCAAGTTTGCGTCTCTCT